CTTGTGAATGTTGCACCTATGCTGCTGGTTGTTGCCACTTTCGTCATTGCTAGATCCTAGGCTTTCAGTGCATTTCACTTTCTGATATGCTACAAGTGGTATCGGAGCTAGTGCGATGAATCTTGGCAACAACCAATCAATTGATTGATTGATTGGATTGGCGGTTTGCCACCAATCAGTCTTCGATTGATTGATCAGTCAATCAGGAGATTGATCAAACTATTGATCAACCAACCAGCAATCATCTGAGATTGACTGATTGATTGATTGATTGGTTGATTGATTGATTGATTGATTGATTGATTGATTGATTGATTGATTGATTAATTAATTTGCAATCAGACTCGACTTCTTCACACTTGTCATGCATGCAAACAGCGAAACAGCAAACTGGCGACATGCGCCCACACAGTACTCAAAGATATCGTAACCAGATATGAGTTCTCTTCCCACTGGCTAAAGCGACTGTGCGCCCATACAACTCACTGCTCACACTCGAGATCACCCTGGATGTCGTACACGCACACTCGGTGTTCATACCCAACACACACACACAGTACACACACTCTGCACTCTACACTGAGCTATGGCAGCTATGGCTGCCGCTACCTATCGCTATGACTACAGTGCTTCACTCTTGCCCCCTTCGTCTTCGGGCCTCCAGCAGACCTCCTTCCACTAGACGCTGTGGCAGCGCTACCGCATGGCTTCCGCTTGAATGAATGAATGGCTGGACGCAGCCTCTTGATTTATACTTCTGCGCTGCGTTGGTCTGCCCTCTATCCCTTGGCCCATGATGTGCACAGTCCCAGACGGTACTTGCTTGACTGGACCGGACTGGGCTACCTGGGACTGCTGACTGGCTAGGTGGACTACCACCACTTGACCACTTGCCTCTGCTGAACACAGGCCAACTCCGAAAGGCCAGTTCTAGAAACCTCTACGTTGGCCCTTCGGTACTGTAGCAGCTACGACTTTGCCCTTTCAGGTAAGTAGCAGCTATGACCTTGACTCCTCAAGCAGCCTACAGCTACCACTTCGGAACTGTCTTGACTCCTAATCTATAGGTCTACAGTTCGATTCCCTTCTACCCTGTGACCTACGACAAATTGCCTACCACTGGCGTTCCTACAGGTCGCAGGTTCAAGTTTACGGGTTGACACTGATACTGTACACAAGTAAGACGGGGATCTAGGGATCGAGCCCTGGGATCTGCATTCGCTACCGCGAATTGGTGAATACCGTTTCACTCCCGCCGGCCTAAATTCGAGGTCCTCCGAGAAAATTTCAGTCCAAGGTAGGACCTTTACCTTTCTGCTGTCTTTCGTAAGCCCGGACTATATCGGGAGCTGTCTCGAGAAGTTCGGATCTTGTAAACCAGCGGTCGTCTTCCGGTTCCTGATAACTAAAATGAACCTTGTATTGTTTCTGCGGACGACCCCTACCTCCAGTTCTGAAGACTTCTTCAGCCACTATACCATCTATGTCATATCTTCCATCCATATCGGGTGGGATCATCGATCTACGGGATGGAAACTGATCACTTGTTTGACAAGGTAGCAACTTCGATGCGTGGAAAACTGGATACGTGTGGAGGTGTGC